AATTGTTAAACATAATCGATATTTCTTGTTTTAAAATAAGTCAAAAGTTAACTAAAATATTATAGCTTTTTATCATAGAATACACACTCCGTACGGCCTCTGCATAGAAATATACCAGACTAAGATTTATTTTAATATTTTTGTTTCTCTTTTTCTTATTTCTACGATTTACCCACATAAATTTTATTTCAATTGCAGCCCTTAGAGTTGTAGACAACCACACATTTGCATTGCAAATGACAGCCAATGTTTGAGTTCTCTTGTGATGCCAGATTGTGGTACTTATTACACAAGAACAAATTTATACACATAACTTATTACATTCTTAGATAAACACAAACAAATAGCAGGCTTTTGTCTACGCTGCGCAATTGCTTATATTGACATGCAAATACATACAGTCATGTGAAAATTAATAGGTACACGACGTTTTGAACAGTTTCGGCTATTTTTCCATTGTTTGTTTACTGCTTAGTTTTTTTTTTAGAAATACAGCTTATTATCTAAAGGTCCAAATTTCAAACTTTGTAGAAAAGTTAGAAAAATTCAACGAAATTTTACAACAACAACAAACTCTTTATTAAGATTTGCTAGAAAAATTGTAAGTATGCAGTTTTATAGCCCATTAAATTCTAACTAAAGAATGTGCAAGTTTCAAGTAACGAAAAATTCGCGTTGATTTTTGATATTTTTTTTTTTTTGCTGAGGGTGTCGAGCATTTTCTTCCATACAAAGTGTGTTCGACCCTTGCTTTTTATGGAAGAAAATAATAACACTATCCGCCAAAAAAATTATCACAAAGTAACGCGAATTTCGAGCTACTTGAAACTTGCAATTTTTTAAGCTAGAATTGAATGGGCTATAAACTTGAATACTTAGAACTGTTTTAGAAAATCTTGATAAAATGTTTGTTGTTGTTGTAAAATTTTGTTGTGTTTTTCAAATTTTGCTACAAAGTTTGAAATTTGGACTTATGTGATTTTTGTCAGACAATGAGGTGATTTTTATAAAAAAAAAAAAAATAGATAATAAACATTAAACATTAAACAAAGAATGGAAAAATAGCTGAAACTGCTCAAAATATCGTGTCCCTATTAATTTTCACACTACTGTATGTACATATCTGTACATACATATACGGATATGATATACATATATGTATATTATGTACGCTTACTATGTAGGCGTCTGTTGGCAAAAGATAGGTTTGTTTATATATTTGACATGTGGGCGTGTTGCTGTTCGTGGTCTTATGAAATTTCGTTCTTGGAGGCGTTTTATTGCTTAACGGTTGTCTTTTGCAATAGATGCTTCCAAATTATACAACAGTTCCACGGTAACTTGTTTCACTCTTTGCAACATTTTTTTAATGATTTGTTTACTTTTTAAATGGCTGGATGATTAAATTGCTTAAGTACACTTTATTATATGATACTAGTTAACACATAAATAAATTATGATTGTGCTTTTTCTCTCCTTCTTTTTCAGAACAAATATTCAAGCTTATTTTAAAGCTGACATAACAGAGATAGGAACAGTTAATCGTAAGTATTTTAGAGTATGCATTTTGGTACGAATGTCTCTAATCCTTTGCCAAATGTGCCATCATACAGACCTTGGTCACTTAGTTCGAAGTAATCATATCGAGCCATAGCCTCCAAAAAGACGTAAACGACTTTTGGCAAAATATTATTTTTGATGCAGAAATGCATCTAGATGCTCTAGGAACATTTCTGCATTAACAAGAAAATTTTGAAAAAAATTTCGCTCATTTTTTTTTTTGGTAAATATCAAATTTTCAACCGAGTTTTAAAAAACCACATCAAATTCTTCGCCAACACCGCCCCACAGTGGAAGGAAAATTGCTTCCTCTTTGACTGCCAAGCTTTTGCCAACTGCTAAACTTCGCTTTCTGCCCGCAGCGTCTTTCGCTGAAAATTACCAGTTACTATTCGTAGCAGTATCTCAAAGGGCCGATGCTCATGGTTTTGACTTTCTGAAACAACCTTAATCTAAACTAACCTACAACACAAAAGCTTTGAATGCTCTCTTGGTTTTATATCAGTTACACAAAAATATATTTTCGTCTGTAACCCAGAACGTCCAGATTTTTTAACTGTCCCTAATCGGCGGGGTTTTCCCCCTATTTTACAACGCTTTTATCAACTTGCAATGTTGTGTTCCAGAAGCTTTCAATGTTGTGTGTCCGACACCATAAAGCAAAGCTCTGAAAAGCTCCTATAAAAAAGCATAGTGAATAGGGCGAGGTAGATGACATCTAGATGTCGCCCTATGTACTACGTTTGCTACAGCGGAAATAGACGACACGCCATTCTTTAAATAAAATTAATTGGTGCTCGTTTGTATGTACATACATATGTAAATGCATGTGTGTGCATCTTTCTATTAATATCGTTGAATTATTTTAATATCTATTGCAAACTTTTATTCAGACAGGACTAAAAAGTAGAAAATAAATAATATAAAAAAAACTTTTTAATATACAACGCTTTTATAAATGGACTAAAAAGTAGAAAATAATACTTCTCAGTCCCATAGAATTTGTTTTGATAACTTTTGATTTTGAAATTTTAGCAAAAGTCATTATAAACAATCTATGAAATTGAAAATGAAAAGCGTGGGGCGCATGTAATACACTTGAATTGATATGAAAAGTAATATATGTATGTATGTATGTGGGTATATGAATAACGACCGCTTAAAATCGATTCCAAAGTTCTACTTTCGCTGTAGAAATTTTAGGTCTACGTTATGTAGTTTGACTATTGTCAATTAAATCGAATGCTTTGTATTGCATGCGCTCCACGTTTTTCATTTTCAATTTCATAGATTGTTTATAATGACTTTTGCTAAAATTTCAAAATCAAAAGTTATCAAAACAAATTCTATGGGACTGAGAAGTATTATTTTCTACTTTTTAGTCCATTTATAAAAGCGTTGTATATTAAAAAGTTTTTTTTATATTATTTATTATTCGCATAGTTTTATTTTTATTTTTTTGCAACCCCATATTTTGATTGCTGACTCGAGCAACATCTAAATTCGAAAAAGCTTTTTATAACAGCGGTCACACTGTGGTTCAAAATTGGCATTTGGTGCTCATAATTCACTGAAGCCTTAATTTTTCACTCAATTTGATTATTTTTTTTTTTTAAATGGAAGCTTACAAAATTTGAAAGAGACCAATTTTAAATCTGATGAGCATTTTTTATAACATTTCAAATTTTTCTTGGGTAAAGCTTGGACGGGGTATTTTTATAGGAAAATAACACTACAAATTTAGCTCGAAAACCACTGCGAATATTAAAAAAAAAAAAAACATCCACACGTGGTCATTTGTTTGAGTCACTGTACATACATATGTATTTTTTTATTTCGAAAATCTTAAAACCTATAGTTTTGATTAACAATTCTGACTTATTACATTTTTTCACCCCCTAACAAAATAATTTCTGGTGCAGTTATATTTTAAGCCACCAAAAGCGCAATTTATTGTCACACTTTTATGTAACTTGCAAAGAACACTCATAATCCAATAATCGCCCTAGCCACAGTTGGGAGTCCTCATAAACATTCGCCCACTGAACTAAAACAAAAAAACTATCGTAAACTCAGTGCCAGCAGCAGCAAACAGATAAGAAAACTTGCTGCAGAGCGCAAAATTAACATTTTTATTTCTAACTGCGCGCAATTCCAAAGCGAAATGCCACAGTTTGTTGGCTGACTAGGGTATTTAGCGTGGGTGGGGGCCGTAAAGTAGTTGACGCCTAGGGGAAATTGGCCCAAAGCGAAACTGTGGCTCAGCCATGCGCTTTTGCTTGCATTGCTATGGTGCTGCCATCGTAGCTTTGAAAACCACGCCGGTGGACACTTAACTCAAGTGTGTGTGTACTTCTCCGGCGGCCTAGTACCAAATGCGAACAGAAACACACAAAAAAACAACGAAGATGAGTCGTAAATAGTTAGCAAAATGCAGAGCAAGAAACGCAGCGCTGCAGATTGCACGGCTGTACCTTCATGGCTGGCTTGCTGGCGGCCTTACTTGTCGTTGGTTTTCTTGCAGTTACTGTTGCAATTTACATAATGCTGCACTTAACAGACGCTAAGTAACATTTGGATCTCGTTTGTGTCTGTCAGTCGTTTGATTTGTCGCACTTCTGCAGCAGTTGCCACACATATAGAACTGGTTTTTTTTTTTGCTTTCTCTTTCGTTTTGCGAATATGCGATTTTATGACGCAAATTCAAGTAATCGAATATTTTTTTTGGTAAATACATACGTATTGCCATTTGTTTCCCCATATTCTTTTTATTGCCCTTGGCTCAAAGTGAACTTCTGCCTCTTGTGTATTTTTGCTCACACACTCAAGGCCAAAAAGTTGCACATTTGCAATAATCCTCATTCTAATTAAACGCTGTTTTGTGCTAGTTTTGTTGCATTGGTTTATACCGGCACACACACACACACACACACGCGCTTGCATATTCATACACAGCGTTTATGGCGGAACTCTCCAATAAACATTTTTGCTAAATCTCAAATAACCGTTGTTAACCGGAATGAAATAGAATCCAGCTACTCTAATTGAAATAGTGGTATAGCCTTAAAAATAATTTATGTTAAAGGAACACACAGTTTTTGATAGGAACGCATTTTTTATTTATGAAGTTTTAACAGTTTATTTAATAGCTTATTTAGTCAGTTGGTTTGTCAAAGAAAAATAGAATGTAAAAAAATCCGAGAACGTAACAGTTACAACTTTTATTAAAAAAATCGCTCTTTAACAATTATTTAATTACTCCTTAAATAACCGTTATTTCTGATTTTTATTTCATAAATCCAAAATAACAATTATTTTTGATTTTAATCTAAATAATCTGCAAATAACAGTTATTTTTGATTTTTAAGTTATATGTCTTAGATAACAGTTATCGAAGACTTTTATTTATAAAAGTCATAAATATAAATCAGTCGCTGACCTTAATTTTTTAAATCATACTTATTTTATAAGTTATTTGTATAAGTCGTAGTAAACTTTTGTTTCCCAACACCTTTTTAACTGCGAAATATGCTAATGACTTTTATACAAATAATTTAAAAAATACAAATCGGTGACTGATTTATTTTGATGACTTTTAAAAGTAAAATTCGCCGACTGATTTTTATTGATAACTTTTATAAATAAAAGTCTTCAATAAATGTTATCTAAGACATATAATATAAAAATCAAAAATAATTGTTATTTTGGATTTATAATATAAAAATCAAAAATAAACGTTATGTTTTTTTTAATTCAGCATAAAAATTGCATGTAAAAATTTATTTTCAAAATTGAGTCTCGGTGAAAAAAGAAATCGATCGGTATGTATCACTTATTTGTAGAACATTTCCTTCATAGTGAATTTTTCGATGACAGTTTTCATCAATGACTGTTATGTTCGGTCCCTGAAAAAATTAGTTTTTCGATTAGTAACTTACAGCTTGAGAACTTATTTTTGGCAAAATAAAATTTACCTCTAACATTTTATCTTATGTATAAAAAATGTTTAACTATAATTAAAAAAATTGTTCGAGGAGATCGTTTATAGAAAAATAACAAAAAAATGTACTTGAAAAACATTGCGCATATTTTGAAAATAAACAGAATTCGATCATTTTTGCCTTTAAACAATTTCTGAGTGCTCAGAATTTACGAGTCTTTCTTTCGTTAAAAATATGAATCTGAGACCAGTAACCATACTGGCTCATTTCGGACTTTTATGTGTCATAAATTCATTCATTGAGTAAAAGTAATAAAGTTGACGTAGAAGTAAAAGTTTATTAATAAACAGAACTATAAAGAGTGCTTATTTTGAAGACTCAAAAAGCGTCACATTTCAGATTTGGACCCGCATGGGCGTGCCCTTCTAAGAGGGGAAATATGTTTTTTTCTGCCTCTTTTTTGAGCTCATAAGGACGGTTACAATTCAGAATTCTGACACTTTTTGACTCTAACATGAGTTCGACTGTTTATAGTTATACATACATATTTGTCAGCCTCATTATCATTCCCATACATACAAACATATGTACAAATATGTTTTTTGTGTACTACTTTCAGCGTTCATCTGCTCTCATTTTGTTACGCGCACAACATTTCTCAAACAGTTCAATTTTCTGCACGCGCCAGCTGCTTACATTGGTATGCGTATTTAAATAAGTACATATATGTATGTATGTATGCGTATAATCTATTGTTAACACTAGGGCATTCAATCCAGCATCCCGAATCCCGATTACAGCTATGGCATCCCGAGATTTTCAATGATTTATCTACATAATTAGGCAGGTTCTAGAACCTTAGTGAAAGTGAAATTGAAAGTGGATAAAGCAGCTCCAGTGCATTTAATTTGAAAAACGAGAAAAACAGAGCACCGAAATTCGGATTCAAATTGAACTTCAGGCATTTGTACTTGGAAATGAATTTCAGAACCTGTGAATAACTGCACTGCTTAAGATA